CCCCCCCCACACGCACCCAATATATACATAGATAAAAGTTGGTAGAAATATATATTTGCACATTTAAATTTACGATTTATGAGAACAGTGAGACAGTTTTGATGAAACAAATGTCAGTGTGGATTATAGGTGACAGTTCTGGTCTGAAATCAGCCTAAGTCTTTCAGTTTGTGTGTTCTTTGCTTTGTGTTTAGGAAAATCATGATTTAGATTCAGGCTGAACACTAATGGTAAATGGTAATAGGGCTTAAAGAGTTTGCCTTGAAAGGGACTCTGTTCAGTAGAACATGTGCCTTGGGGAGCTATGGTATGAGATCTGCACAAACAAGATAACTTGGCTGGTTAAGCTAATATTGCTGGTTTCCCATTGGTACTTACCGTGTGTCTTTTTAATTATAATTTTAAAGTTAAAATAAGTAATATAAATTCAGTGCAAATCAAAAATCTGAAGAAGAATCAGGGATATATTATATTGCTTTAGCCCCTAGAGCTTCTAAATCTCTCATCTGAGAGAATTTCTGACCTAATTTTTGGTTGATTCTGGTAGGTGTTGGTCCTGTGGTAGCAGGAGTGTTGGCAGCCATCTTTGTGCTGGTGGTCCTGATGCTGATGTACTACTGCTGTAAACAGAACAACAAACTGGGCCAACTCAAGCCTTCAGCCTTCCCATCCAAGTTGAGGCAGCACTTCAGGTAGGGAAAAATGTCATGAAGGACTTGGGGGCCATTTGTAAAACTCATAAATCTCTTTGTAAGCAGTAATGGTTGAAAGAATTGATGAGGGTGGGTCTAATTCAAGGAAGGCAAATGGAAGGTACACCCTGCCTCTCCTGTCTGCTATGTTCCATGATCAGGGCAGACATTGTTAGTTGATTTTTTTTTTTATTTTATTTATTTTGTTGTTGTGTTGGGAATATAGACAGTGAAACATACACCAACTCAACAGTTTCTACACATGCAATTCAGTGATATTGATTACATTCTTTGAGTTGTGCAACAATTCTTACCCTCCTTTTCTTAGTTATTCTTCTTCCATTAACATAAACTCACTGCCTCCTAAGGCACCTATCTAATCAAGTTGCTGTTGTCAATTTGATCCCATATGGATAGTTTGTAAAAGACCATGATACTCAAGGCAGACGTTTTCTGCTTAACTAGACGTTTTCTACTAGTTAAGCTAAACTATTGTTAAGAAAACTTTAGGGGATATTTTTGGTATAATTTTTAAGGATTATCTCAGGACAGTAGTTTCAGGGATTCATTAAGGCCCCGTAGCTCCAGAAATTCTGGAGTCTACAAGAATTTGAAATTCTGTTCTGCATTTTCCCCCTTTTGGTCAGGATTCTTCTATAGCATCTTTCATCAAAATGTTCAGTAATGGCAGCTGGGACTAGTTGCTCTTACTATAAATACATCACTTCAGAATCTCAGCAGAATGTTCCCAACCAAATCATGTTGGAACATGCAATGGATCTCTTTGCTATCCTTTATGTATTTGATTTATTCCTCATTTCAAAGAGCAGGAAACTAAGGTAGCTACAAAGTTGCCTGTGTCAGTTCACCGTAGTAGCTAGATCTCAACTGAAAACAAAGAGTAACTTTAAAAAAAATGGATTAATTCCTTTGGCAATTGAGGGTGTAGAGTCTCTAAATCCCCTATTATACTTTTTCTGGAGGAGATTTTAAATCTTAGACCTTTCTGGAAAGGAGCCCTGGTGGCATTATGGTTAAAGCACTTGGCTGCAAATCACATGGTCAGTGGTTCAAACTGGTCAGCTTCTCTGTAGGAAAAATATGTGGTAGTCTGTTTCTGTAAAAATGTATAGCCTTGGAAACCCTGTAAGGATTCTACTCTTATCCTATGGGGTTGCTATGAGTCAGAATCGACTCAGCAGTGGGTTTTTTTTGTTGTTGTTGTTGGGGTTGTTTGTGCCTTTCTGGATTCTTACCTGAGGGGGTTGGTTGATAGCTGGTGACATCACTGGTGTTGCTGGTTGATATTGCCTTAGGGGAGAAGGATCTTAAAGAGTAAAGAGAAGGTGCTGAGGCAAACTTTGTTTTTGGATTGGGCCAACTCTCTTCTTTGGGAGTTCTCAATTGGCCAGACTCTGATAGTCATACTTAAGAAGCTGGGGTTCTGGAAGACCAATCTCTGCCCTCTCTAGACTTGGGCAGTGACATGTCTTGGGGAAAATCTGGCTGCTTGTTGCTATGCTTGGGCTAGAGTGAGCTCAGCCCCCAATACTTTCTGAACATCCTCTACTTCCTCCCTACCCACCCCCAACTTCTTGTTTCTAGTTGTCCCTTCAGGGTGTCTCAGAACAGTGGAACTGGCCACGCCAACCCAACCTTCAAGTTGCAGACGCCCCAGGGTAAGCGAAAGGTAAGAGCATTGCACCACTGAACTTTGCTACTTTTCCTTTATCCCTCAGGATCCTGCTGGATTTTCCTAACAGCCTCTGCAGCCCCGTAGCCATTTTATAGGATTGAGAGACATATCAATTAGTTCCGATATCCCTTAATGACTTTGGATCTGAATTTTAGAATATTCTAGGGATTTAACAGGCCATCTTGTCCTCACCTCTGGTCATCTCAATGAGATACACAAGGGGATCCCTGAGTTTTTAAGTCCATTGAGGGGTCTTATTATTTTTATTTTTATTATGATTTGGGTGAAAATTTACAGAGCAAATATACTTTCCATATAGCAGATCACATACACTTTGTCTCATGACATTGACCACAATTTAGCACAATACAACATCTCCTCTCCCACTTCCTCCCGATAGGTACCGCTTCTCTGTGACCATCCCTCCATGCACTCCTTCCCCCTGAGCTGTCTCACTGTGTCTGAGCAGCCCCTTTTTCTCTCTTGCTTGTTCTCTCCAAGGAGTGTATCTACCTCAGATAAATGCTCAACTAGTATGCCTGTCTACTGCTTGGCTGGAAGCTACAGGTGTGTGTTCAATTCCAGACCTGAAGGGCAGCTAGGGGGCATAGTCTCAGTGGTTCCACCAGGCTCCATCGGGCCAGTAAACCTGTTCCCCACTTTTTTTTTTTTTTTTCAAATGATTTTGAGTTTTGTTCCACATTGTTCCCCCTATCTATCCAGGATCTCCTACAAAGATCACATTGAGGAGTCTTATCTCTCAGGTGTTCCTTGTCTTATGCATACAGGTGACCAACACCCCTGAAACCCCTCGGAAGCCCTCCCAGCCTCCTCCCCGGCCTCCTCCCGACTACCTGCATGTTGGGTCCCCACCTGCATCATTGCCAGTGCACCTCAGCAGGGCTATTAGGAACACCCCAGGGACCAGGACTCAAATAGAGAGAAAGGAGTCATCCAGAAGGCCTCCCCCAAGCCGGCCAGTGCCCCCTGCTCCAAATTACATCCTCTCCCAGGTAAGTGGATTTTCAGCAACCCTGGGCCTGGGGATCACTTTTAAGGTCACTGTCAGTGGGGAAAGCCAGAGACTGAGAAGACAGAACTTGCTGAGTTAGGAGCTAGCAGCCTTTTCTTCATTCTGATCAATACAAGGGCACACAGAGGGCTAGAGGAGTGGCCACAGGGAAATGTTCCCCCTGGGCAGCTCGAGACCTCTGGAGTTTTTATGACAAGCTACAACCTACCTTCCACCCACAACTAATTTCTCTCAGTTCCTGATGCTCTTCTCCTCTCTTGGTTTTTGCCAATGCTGTTTCTTCTGCCTGATACGCTCATTTCCTTTGCTTAAAAAAACTGAAAACCAAACCCATTGCCACTGAGTTGATTCTGACTCATAGTGACCCTATACAACAGAACTGCCCTTATGTAGTTTCCAAGGCTGTCAATCTTTACATAGGCAAACTGTCTCATCTTTCTCCATAGAGCAGCTGATGGGTTAGAACCACCAACCTTGTGGTCAGCAACACAATACTTTAACCACAGCACCACCAGAGCTCCTTTCACTTTGCATGGACAGTTCCAATTCATCCTTAGATTTCCTCATGGATGTCTCTTCCTCCAAGAGGGCTTTTATGACCTGCCAGGTCTGAGTTTGGTGCCCCTGTATTTCCTCTATCATAAGACTTGTCTGACCACATTATACCTGCTGGTTTTCACTAATTCAAAAGTCTTCCTGAAGGAAGTACCTCTTATGCTTTGTTCATCTGACAGGTCAAGGGGCTAGGGTCTCTGAGAGGTGTGAGTGGGTCCGGGCTACACCCCAGCCACTGCTGCTCATTGGAAGCAGAATCATGCTCCCCTGCGCCTGTTCACCCAGCATGTTTGACTTCACCTGTACCCTCTGGTAGGAAGTTCCCTCAGCGCAGACACAGGTGTTTCCAGGGTGGCCGGGTGTGGTGCCTTCCTGAGCTCTGCCTGTGTGTTTTGCTTGGGCCCCTCTTGTGGGGTAGGGGACTTGCTTGGTTTCCTCCTGAGGCTGCTTTTCTTGGACTTGGTCCTGAGAGCTCCCCTGGTGCCCAGGCTGTGTCTGATCCCCTCTGATTGAGGGGTTTGGAGACATGGGATAGTGTGGGGGTTGGCAGAGCTGAGAGTATCTGTAATGTGAGGCTGCTTCTCTCTGATTTCTCTTGTCTGGGGTTGGGATGAGTTTGAAAAGTCCATGAGGAAAGGGAGGGAGAAGACTGACAGGGTGAGAAGAAAGGAAGGGAGAAAAGGAAGAGAGCAAGAGGAGGGAGGAGTAGAAAGAGAGAAGAGAGAGAGAAAGAGGAGAGAAAGAGGGGAGAAAGCAACTGTGTAGGGACAGGGTGTGGAGGGAGAAAAGAAGTGCAGGAAGAGGGAGAATGTCAGAGGAAAAAGTGAAGGAGAGTGCTCTGTTCAGATCTTTACTCTTGAAAAACCCACATTGGAAACTTGTTCCAAAACAGGGCCAGTATCACCCCGGCTCACCCCAAAGTGCTGAGCTCTTCTCAGGAGGGCAGGAGAGGCAGCTAGAGTCCAACTGATAGGGAGAGACACTTCAGGCTCCATGCCTGACCCCCACACCCACTCCCCTGATGTGTCTGTCTGCTGGCAGGCATCCAGAGTGCAGGAATTCACCCAGCCAGCAATGGTATCTTGAAACACAGATCCCAAGCTCAGCTTTCCTGGGTCCTGAGGCTCAGACAGGGGTTTATCCAAGGGTAGGCAGGGGAGTCAGCTGTTCTGAGGGGGACTCCTTCCTCAAAGCCATTCCAAGAAGTGAGTTATCATTATCTTCGTTTTCTCAACAAGGTAGCTAAGTCTCACAGAGTTCAAGGAACTCAGCCAAGATCACACAAGTTGTAAGTTGAGGAGCCAGGACTTGATCCTAGATCTGACTCCAAAGTTTTAGCCACCATGTGTACAGGTCCTGGCTTACGCCCCAGGATACAGAGCCAAGTGAGACCACATTATGCAGGAAGCACTCACAATCTAAAGCAATCTAGAATGAGTCAGCCAACCAGATCTTAGCTCCACTCACAGCTGGGTGACACTGACAAACCTGGAAGGGTGGTGAATGAAACACTGTAAGTCCTTTTATTCTTTCCACAAATGTATATTGAACATCTACTCCATGCCAGACAGTAGTCAGCAAGGTAGATGGGTCTCTGCCTGCTGGTGCTTCCTTCTACTGGGGAAGATACACGTAGTTATAGTGGTGATAAGTAGCAGGAAGGCAAGTATATAGCAAGGGGACTTGACCTAGCCTGGGGAGTCTGGGAAGGCTTTCCTGAGGATGTGATGTCCAGCTGAGACATGAAAGATGAAGGATGAGACATGAAGGTTAACCAGCTTGAGTGTATGAGTGATGGGGGGGGGAAGGAGAACACTTTCCTGGTAGAGAACCTCTGGAATAAGAGGTTGAAGGAACTTAAAGGCCCATATATCTGGAGCCAAGGAGCTATGAGATGAGGCTGGAGAGCCAGGAAGGGCAGACTATACCAAGCTCATGGGCCTTGGTCAAGTCTTTGGCCTGAGAAGGGGGAAGTGGTGGGCAGTGGTGACTGATCAGATTTGCCATTTACTAGAATCACCCTCTGGGCTATCTATAGGCAGGGGGGAGGCGTAATGCGTGGGAGGAACCTGTAAGTGCTTCTGGGGTTGCTAATCTTTTATTTTTTGACCTGTGTGTGGATTAAATAATTATGTTCCCCTGTGATAATTCATCTAGTTTTAGTATATTTATAATTTATTCACCTTTTTATATGTATAGTACGCTTCACAGGTTGGTTTATTTTTTATTTTTTATTTTAACCTTAAAACATAATGACCAGATATTGCAGGTTTGCTTGTTTTTTCTTCCTTTTATTTCCCTTTTCTCTTTCTTTCGTTACTGTTCCTGTGTGATTACATGGTGTATTTTACGTCCATGGGCTTTTAGTTTTTCGATGGACAGTCAGTTGTAGTTTGTGTTTAACTGAGTGGGAGACAACAACAACCCTCATAAGACACAACCACACCTACAACTCCTGGGACTTCACTTACTGAGCGAGAGCCACTTCCTCCATCTCCAGCA